ACGCCAGGTTACGGAGAACTATCACTCATACCCAAAAGTGGTTCGGCCATCAGCAGAGTTGGTAAAGAAAGAGATACGTATCACAACTCAACGCTTGAGTCCTGTCAGCCGCGATTGGCACGGCCGGGACTCCATCACCAGCAAGAGCAGACTCTGAACTAGATTGATCGCAAAACAGAGTCTGACAATGGCCACGGTCTGGAGCTTGCCCAAGTGAACTGCCACCGAACTTAGTCGGTAAGAAACACTACGACATTGCAAACCGTCTGCGAAACAAGACACATCTATGAAGCGATCCGGGTCAACCCGATGATAACGTCTCTTCGCATCGCAACAGCCAACCAAGGCATGCATGCATATGTGTATACCTACTATATACGCACATACATACGGACAGACACATAGACAGACAGACAGACAGACAGACAGACAAGTGGACACGCCCTGCACTGTAGCTTCTAGATGCTTCGAAGAGTCCGCAGCTTTTGAATGGCTGTCTGCACCTGGCTTCAACAGAACTTTCAATACAAAATCTGGAGCCCTTTCAACATTCTGACTTGTTCTCGCCATTGCCTTCTTCAGGCTCACATCCTTGAAGTCTTCCTCCTTCTTGAGCTTCGCATGAAGAGCTCGATAACCAGCTGCCGGGTCCTCCACCGTCAGCTCCTGCCAAGCCGCTTCAGACGAAGCCCGTGGCTCAGCTAAGGCTGCCCTCGAATTGATTTGCAGACTGCGGCCCTTCGTGGCAAACCATCACCTTGCTGCACAAGACCTTGCCTGCAATCTCTGTAGCAGTGTATCGAGCGAAGCCGGCGAAGCAGCCATGGCTGGGAGAAGCCGAGGAAACTGCTGCCACGTGGTGCAAGTTCTGTTCCGGCGTCAAGCTGAAGCATCGGCGTTTACCCCTGCTCCGCATCGTCGCCTGTCGTCTTCTGCGCTTCTTTGTTGATGAAGTTTACGTTCAGGCCAGCCGCAACGGCTTTAAAAGGCAGGGTCATGCAACCCCAGCATACAGCACGGCCAAAACGACACAAGACTTCGCTCGAGCCCTTCTTGTGTTTCAAGTTTTAACTGAACCGAGCTGAGAATATGTTCTGGTGCTTATAGGGACAAGCCCGAAAAGGCTGTTGAAGATGCGTTTCGTTTTGAAACCTCGCAGCGAGGCATTGTCGGCAGGGAGCGACGCAAATGTCGCGGCCAACAGTCGAAGTCGTTCGAGAAGAGCCGGCCAAGAACCGAAAGCCTGCCATCGTCAGCTGCCTCCATCGTCTTCCACCATATTGGCTTCAGCAGTTTTCCTAGGCAGGTGCCAACACTTTCGAACCACGAACAACACACTCTCACAACCAGCTTGAAGATGGCAACATACTAATGTTTCAATCCAGCTGCAAATCCCCCTCGTCCATGTCCTCCGTGTCGGATAGATCATCCTCCAACTGCTTTTCAGCCTTCACAAGGGGCTCTTGCACCATACCAACACCACCAACAGCGCCCCTTTCAAGGGTTCATTGCGCTCCTGCTCAGATTCCTCGTCCATCTTGTGCTCGACGGGCCTGAGACAGCAAGGCTGCAAAGAGCAAACGCTTCGCATGGGAGGTCGGAAGTTAAGAGTCCTAGGCTGCATACCCATCGCTGTGAGATATCCTGACATGGCAGATCTAAACGGAACTCCCATGGATTCTGAGTGGGGTGCCTCTCGGGCCCTTTCGGTGGAGGGAACTCTCCCGGCGGAGCCTCCATTGAGGGCCACACGCATACACCAGACTTACATCCACCGGAACTAGTGGCTGCTCGCACAATGCCTTTGCACCGAGAGGAACTCGCTCCAGGTCCTGTTGCGCCATCAGCTGGTGCCACAATAGCGGCACACTTGAGGTGTTGAGGGCAAAAAACTCCTTCTCAACGGAACGTTTCAGTCGCGCAGCAAGTTTCGTACGGCCCACATTGTACAAGACCAAACAGAATCTTCAACCCGGAGCAGGTGTTTGTCACATCCTTGTCGTTGGGCATCTCACCATTTGACTTCTCCAGCGTCTGGCCAGTCGGCTTGCCTGATACAATCTTGCTGCGAACCAGCTTAAACCACAACTGCAGCCAGTCCTGATTTAGCTGGCTGGTTTGAGCACTCAAGACGACCACACCAAGGCTCGAACCACTTTGGTCTACCACTGGACCCTTCGGAACGAGAGGCGGCTTTATGGGACCTTCGTCCGCCTGTCACGTCAGACACAAGCAGTACACGAGGAATAGTCCACTTCATACGGGCATACGGGTTTGATGAGCTACCTTCCCAAGCTCACCATTCCACTCTTGCAGCAGCCTCATACATGTACTTCTTGAAGCTGCTGGGCTCCACCAAGAAGAAGCCGGTGCGACGAGGGCGACAGCCTTTGCAACTCAAGGTTGCGTTTGCATTGAAGTAATGCTTACACCACAACATCTGATGTCTACAAACTTCTGCTGGAACAGACTATTCCTGAACCGAACTCGCCGTGCAATTCTCACGTGCGTCAGGCTGGGAGTCCGACCGAGCCGATTGAGCCCATCAGGAAAGACCTGTGCAGTTTCTAAGTCAGACGAGCACATGCCACGGCTCAAGCTCATAGTAATTCACAACGTCCGGCCTGCAGCCAGGATTCCACGGAGCGGGCCTTAAAGTCTTCTCACTCAAGGGGAGCTGTGGCTTCAAATCTTATCCAACTCACAGAACAGTTCGCTGTTGGGACAGCTTTTGACTCGTCGTCGTTTCGCAGAATCCCATCGGATCAAATCGGTCCTACCACTCCGGCGCTTTCAGCGCGATGTGTGGGTCGCAATCATCGTAGAAAGGATCCATGATGTGGTCATACCCCGGGAAACCGTCTGGCCAATATTTCTTGACTTCGTGGGTGATCCAGCGGATGTCGCGGCCGAACATGGTCTTCCACGTCCATGCCTTGTCCTGGATTGGCACCAAAGGATCCACATCCTCGCCCTTGTGGTAATACCACAGCCAGACCGGATCGCGCTTGAAGCGTCCATCATGGCGGTTCTTGGACTTGTGCAACCAGACGTAGGATCCACCAGATTCCCAGTGCGCTGTGTAGCCCGGAACGGAGCCCTTCACCACAATGATGGACTCGGGCATGTTGTCCTAAACAGACAGCACCGTGCAAACAAGCAACTGATACACTGCGGTTACACAGTCGTAGCGGCTTCGCTCCAGCAAGAATTATGGTGGTCCTCATCGATGCGGTCCATAATTTTGATAACCTTTAGATTGTGGGCGATACTCTTGCAGACACCTGGAGCCATCTTCCGTGGAAGATCATGCCAGAATTTGCAGCTGTCTAGAGTCTAGCGCTTCTGTGTGCCTTTGACCATACCCTATCTCAGCACCACACCCTGCCATCCGGCTCTATGCTTTCCAGGAAGAACACGCTTGGGGCGTGCGGCACCGATGGAGCCTTCTCTCCTGCCACGCAAACGAACAAAGTCTCGCCCTGCGACATTGTGTGCTGCTTGTACGGCATTGGTGACTGAAGGTGACACTGCCCCTCCTGTGGTGCTTGGAACCATGAGTCATCGGACCACGCTTGCCGCCCCATCTCTTGATCCTACCGGCAAAGCCTTTTCCTTTCGCCCAGCCTCAGCTTCGCGCCATCGTCAGGAAGCATGCAGCACTTGCTGCGAGAATTCAACACTTCTCTACGCTCCGAGCGACCATGAACGTCGACTGTATCGCCCTCCTCGAGGAAATCTGACGGCCAGACTTTCTGTCCGACCTCGTACTTCTCCCAGTCTTGGGGCCTGCAAAGCGGCATGGCATGGCATGGCAAAATCGATCGACAGCAAAAGCAACAGCGTTTGGGGGGATCGGTCCGGAGCCTGATGCGGAAGTCCTTGATCTTTCTCAGGGGTGGGCACTCATTTCGTGCCAGACGCTGAATCTGCAACGCCTTCTTGCTGTTCTTCTCCTTCCTTGCCAAGACATGGATTTCAGCTGAAAGCTTCCTGTATGAACCCGGAGTTTGTCTGATCCTGCATTGATGCATTGTGCCATGTGGCTTACAGTAGGCATGAGCTGCAGCGGGTCAGTTACCCACAACTTGTACAAACCCTTGCTTTCAAGGCTCTCATCCGGAGTGTATCGCTCGTAGCCGACTTGCACGGCGTAGTGTCCATGCTTTTCAGGCCACTTCTTGTCAGTGATCATGTTGCCACCACGCTTTACGCACAGAATTGTTGCTGGAACTGTCCTAACGTTGCCTTCCTCTTCCTCAAAAATGGTTGTCATGTTGAGCTTTTCAGCCCAAATGCCGATACCGGGCTCGATGGTCGGCCTGGACATCCGGTCCCACCATGGAATTGCCTGCAAGGCCATCTCAACTCAGAGCATATGCATTAATTGCAAGAATCCAAAGGATGCGGCTCCGTCTCTCTTTCTTTCTGTGACCAGGCCTCGCTCTCTCTCATGCTTGGCGACAGTCTTCCGGCCACAGGTGATCAAACGCACCCGAGGGTTCGGAACCCTAATTCCACCCCATCCGCCCATTCTTCGAGTCAACAACAGACAAGTGTCACATGACTCTGATCTTTCCCCTGTCTGATGCTTCCTCTGCTGTTGACTCTCTTGCTCTCTTCTCTCTCTATCTCTCTCTCTCTCTCTCTCTCGACTTCCTGTTCTGTGCAACTAAGCTGAGGGCTTTTTCCGTCTCCTTCTGTCTCTCTCTCGTTCCTGGTCCCTGAAAGTTTTCGAAGGCCATCAATCAGGACGGAAAGGGTGAAGGGCTTAGTCGAAATAGCGGGCGCTCTCGCAGGGGTTGGCAGTCAATGAAAGCTCTTGATGAGCTTTTACAGCCGACACGTCGACGCAGCGATGCGGCGAGCCCCGCAGACCGAGGTCGTGCAATGGCTTGATATGACTTGTGGCTTCGGTCCGTCCGTGCAGCAGTAGAAACATCAGACCTGAAACTGAAGAAAAGCAAGAAAATCTCTGGTGACAAAACTACTCGCGCCTTCGAGGATTCGACATGTAAACCCGTCACGCAAAAGATTCAAGACATGGTGCCGCTGACGAAGTACGCCCACCCTTGCGAACCTTTGAACTTCCTCCTGTTGGCTGTCTCTCCGGTGTGGCTGCGAATCTCCATCTGTTTATTTCTTGACAAACATGAACCTTGACGTTCTATATACCTGAGGAAGCGATTGCAAAAGTTGATCTCATCCGAGCGCCTGATCTGGGCGGGTGGCCACGAGATTCGCACGCCGTGCTGTCTTCGTGTTCCGGGCACGTGCTGCCCCAGCGCCTGGCACAAGCTCGGAAATCAAAGGGACAACCCCAGACTACCTTCAGACCCAATTCACGATTTTGCAGGCTGCTTGCCCCAGAGGTCCTGCCAATGCTGCAGCACCTGACGCATCACGAGACCGTCACGGAACATGAATGAGCAACAAGCCCTGCCATCGGTTAGCTGGCCTGCCAAAGCAAGCACCACAGGCACGGCCGCTGGGTGTGTCTCTTTCACTGCACGGCTCTGCACGGTAGCTCGAGGAGCCACTTGCGGCGTAACCGTGCTACGTGCCGCTGGAGCCTGCAGGAAGGAATTGAGTCACTCGAAAAAACCCTGCAGAAAAACGAGAAAACGAGAGACGGCCTGCACGAAAGCTGTGGCGCACAAAGGCAACAGCGGCAGGCACAGCGCAGCGCCAGTCACCCGGAGCCACATGGTGCCACAAACCGACTACTGGCTTCTGGTTTCACTTTGAGCCTGGAAAGGCTCTGGCATTGGGTAAGGCGCGGTTAGCTGGCTGTACAGGATTGCGACATCAACTCTTCGCTGCTTCGCTGCGTCCCAAGGCCGAGGCGTGGGATACCAGCCGTGTAGATCGCCTTCAACCACCATCATCAACCCTTGCTAAAATGTCACTGCAAGGGACATGTGACAAGCAGCTATGACCTCCCGCATGCAGCGCACATGCATTGCGAGGCATGTACGTTAAAAGCTGCAGATTCAACAGGTGGCATCGGTGTTGTCGATACTGTATGACTCAGCATCGTAACTGAAACTATACACAAGTTGGCTAACACAACACATGCGACGAATTTGGACCGATGAACGACACCATCGCACCTATGAGCCACAATTGCTTGAAGTCCGACAAGTGTTGTAACTACATATCCATAGCAGAGCTCAGGAATGACTCCGAAAGATGCGTCTTCCATTGGCTCCCACAAGCGGTTAAATTTTGTTGCCTTGAGGCTGCATCGACCGACAAAATTTCAATCCCGTAACAAGCAGCGCCCCACGACCTGCTGGCCGAGCATTAAGTGCAATCTCGATTGCCAGTCATCGAAGCTTGACTCAGCAGTTCTGCTCAGGAACTATGCATATTCTGTTCATCCAACGCAATGCTCCCTTTCAAGAGCTCGATTGGCCGACCACCATCTCGAACGGACGACCTAGTCGCGGTTACGACTGAAACAGTGAGGGAGGTGACTTTTTAGCCCAGGGCCCAGCCTCGGAGCCTGGGCCCCGAATACATCGAAGGGATTGAGTGCTAGAGCAGTGCGACCTAGAGAACGGGTTAACTTGCGACCCGAGGCTTAGACAACTTATCAAAGAACCTTGCCTTGTGCTGCTTCCTCATGATAAGGGACTCGACAGGGGGTTGCCTTCGGGGACGAGTTTGGTTTCCCCCTAGGCCCCCCTAGACTTTGTGAGAAGTCAGAAATATTGAAGGCCACTACGTAGGTTCTAAAGAGAACCAGGCGAAGTTCTAAGCTGGAACCGTGAGTGTCTTGAACTTTGAAGGGTAGACAGGCCTCTCACGAAAGTCCAGGGTAGTCGATGTGGTCGAATGTACCTGGGCAGGAAGGTCTCCGGACCCAGGATGTCCCAAGCAAGCGCGAAAGGCTAAGGCTGGGCGCCAGGCTAAAAAGTCACCCTCCTTTATAGGGACAGAAGCAACGGTCAAATTGGCGCATGTAGGTATCTCCGCCGCGGACGGTGCTCTGTCCTCAGTGCGATCCAGTGGGCTAGGCCAGTAGGACATGTGCCATGGTGCAGCAAGTCTGTCTTCTTTTTGGCACTGAGATAGGCTGTCCTGTGCCGGTGGCAAAGGTGAAACTAACTTCCGATCCTTTGAGGACCAGGAGGCTGTCGCTGTGGCAGAGGCGGAACTCGAAGCGATCTTGACCTCAGTGTGCGAACGAGTGCAGTCGACTTCTGCTGAGGTCATCGGCCCATTCAGTGCTCGGGCTGTCATGGCAAGGGCGAGCTGTGCTAGGGTCTCGAAGCAAGCGATGTACTTTTGGGCGTCCTTGGTCAGGAACGGCCAGAATGCACGTTTATGCTCCATCGTGCAAGACTCGGCGAACCAGGCTGGCTATGCTTGGTCGACCCAACCTCCTCCCTGCCTGGTCACCTTCGGCCATTGCATCGCCTGGCTAGGCTGCTCAGGATCGGAGGCATGGACAAAGGTGTGGTGGGGATCGCTATGCGAGAGGCAAGCCATGAGAGGCTGTTCTGAGCGGCCCGAGTCATTTTGATGACTGGGCACGACGGATCTGATATCCGGATCCAGGTATGGCCTGGTTGTTCCCCTCACTCGATCACCCTGAAATGCAGGGGTAGGCTGAGTCCCGTCGCCTCGCGGACCAAGACTGCTCGCGAGTCCAGGCAGTGCAGCAGAGGCAACATGCGAGGGGCTATGGAGCAGTTGGCTCCTGGCGGGCTGTTGAGTAGGCGGTTTGGAGGTGCTAGGTGTGGGCGGAGCACTGGGCTGATGTTAGTGGCCCACATAAGGAGTCCTATGCAGGCTTCTAGGTTTTTCCTAGGGACCTTAGGCTTGCTAAGTAGTCCTCTTATCTGCATGGAGAGCTTGGCTCTTTTAGCTGCGCAAAGCTCCACCGTTTCGTAGGCAAAATTTAAAAAGCGCCAACCATACCAGACGAGGCTATCTCCATAAGCCTTTCTCCAGCTGATGGGTGCACGAGGCTGGACACAAGGAGTGGGCTGAATTCCTCAGGAGCGCAGCGAGTAGGTCAGCTACGAAGAACCAGACTCGGTGTGGATGCTCGGCAGGCTGGCATGAAGAAGGCCTCCTACTTTTTGCCACCAGTAGGCTGGAACTTGGCCCTGAAGTGGCATAAGGTGCCATTAGGCAAAAAGTAACGGCCTTGCTCCGTGTCGTGGACCTTAACCCTCTTGTATGCGGCTTTAAAGTCTATGGAGGCGGAGATATAGGCTCCTCCAGGATCCTGGGGCTGAAATGATCGGCGAACCTTCTGGACTGTGGGCATAGATACGGAATCGGGTATTCGGCAAAGAGTTTACATGGCAAATAGTACTCTAGAACCAGGCGCAGGTCTCGGCGGCCTTCACGAGGCTGAACTTGCCGACTGCTATGCCTTTAGGTCGGAAACCTGCTGAATCCAGCCCGCCGCCCTCTTCGACTAGAAGGGCGGAGACTGTGTCTGAGTGTATGGACCCCTCTACCAGCATGGAGGGGAGGCATCTGGGTGTTTTCTGTGCATGAGATTTGACTTAAAAGGCTGCCCTGGACTGACATGTCTGATGCTCCATTTCAAGAGCTGAGCACAGAATCTCCAGAGTCTAGGTTTGTTCCTAAAGAGGATGCTCCGGGCGGCTATGGCCAAGATGGGCGAAGTCCGCTTGGGCAAGTCCGACTTATCCCACTATAACCAGGTGATCTGCTTGGGATGCTATGATCTGCAGAACTGGGCGATCCTGCGCCGTTGCATATCGGTGGACGATGAGGTACGAAAGATGCCAGAGGAACGAAGGCGACTTGTTAGACAATTCTAAGTCTTCTCTTCCGCAAGACTCCAAGGCCATGAGCTTGGAGTCGAGGCAAGACCACGTGGGCAATCTGGCGGAAGCTAGCACTAGATCACCCTGGCACGGAGTTGGCATAGGTGCATAGCTGAGTCATGTGGCAAGCGGCGAATTCTGGTGACTGCAAGAAGACATGGTCTCCACGTAGCGTAAACAGGGTCCAGGCGGATGTAGCCTTGCTGGCCTGTAATAGGGCTACGGCCGACTCCGCATCCGGAACGGGGCAGGAGATGGGGCTGCATCCGAGGATCTTTCAGCAAAAGCTACTTCCACTGAGCTGGAAAAGTTCCTAAAGGACTATGAAGTCCACGATGTGCTTGCCCACGTTTTGGCCCCTCAACGACTCGAAACAGTGGACGACTTTGCCACGCTTTCCTGCAACTCTCCAGCCTAGATACAGTTCTATCCAGCCTGTTCGACCCAGGAGAGCGGGTTTCTCAGACTCTTTACATGAGTCCATGCAGCCAAGCTCCGCAAAGCACTTAGATGCACTTGAGGGCCGCCTCGATGAAGCCGAAATCGCTGCAAACTTCGGTCTCCAAAAGAGGTGCCAGGGCTGAGTCTTTTTTGGTCAGCCTTCTGGTCCTTTAGTCTTGCCATCGGTGCTCGCAAAAGCG